TGAAACTCAACGCATTGGAATCCCAGGACAGAGAGCCGTGAATGACCAGCACTAGTGGAAATCATTGACATGAGGGGCGAAGAACAAGGAGACAGGACGTCAGGAGCGCGAGCAGAAGAACAGATGTGCTTGCGTGGTGCTCCCTCCTACCTCCGTCCTTCCGGTAGTATCTTCTTTGCTCATCTTCGTACAGACGTCTGCTGGCGCAGCAACACCACATCAGCCGACCAGCCAATACTTCTTACCTCACCCCACCGGTTCGTCCCCGCACGAGCTCGCATGCCTCCTCCTGTATGTTGTTACTTGCGTGTTTTTAGACAGTAACGCGGAGTGAGCGACTAAAAATTGAGGATATGATCCGGGCTTCAAAGAGCTAGCATCGGCGAGGCAGAATGAGGGAAGATGCAATGATTACCACCAGGCGAAGCCAGATGCACGGTTAATGCTGTATTACCACCAGCATACCGGCGTTCAAGGTAGAGAATGACTGTAAAGGGGCATCATAGGCTGCATGGCGCACAGTTTTATATTAAAGCATGATATATCGAGAATAGCAAGAGACACGCCAAGAATACTTACCTTACCATCGTTCTCCGTTTTGTTATACACCGCGTGTTGACTGAGAGAATATAAAATGTGAATGAGGACCTGGGATCCAAAAAGTAAGAGCTACGCGAAGATACACTGGCATTTTCATACCTCGCCATTGTTCGATAGAGGGAATAGCCAATATTGACAGTGCATGGGAACAATCCGGCGTCACGATCAGATGCAGAATCCCTCCATTTCCCGCCTAGATTCTGGGAGCCTCTGCAGCAGCTGCCTAAAGCATCTAATGCGTGTCTTCTGAAACTGGAGCTCGTTGCTCGATTGTGGAAAGACACGAGAGGTGTTCCAGCACTCCCGGGACCAAAGTGAAGTCGCGGGATGGCTGGTGTTGCTACGCGTAGCTAGAGGCACTAGCTGGAGCACCTAGGTATCGAATGAGAACGAAACGGGGCTTACAAACTATTCAGCCGAGATCGGCAACCAGCACTTAGCGCAAACACTGGACCAGCTTTTGAACTCGAGGCCTCAGAAGCCTCAGAAGGGGGCCGGAGAGTAAAACTTTAAGTTCAATAGTTATATATCTGGCCACTACTTTGAGTTATCACAGTGTTTCATATTCAATTACCATTCAAATACTTCCGTTTGAACTCGCCGGTGAGTCTGTAGCTGAAATTAGTCTGCGAATCAGGCTCATGAAACATATATGCTACGTACCAGCGGCACTGCCACGCCATCCTTCTACGCAGATCCGTTCTCCAGCCTGAACGATCCAAGCTTCAAGCTTCACGGCTTCTGTCATCTATTTCGCGATACGAGTTAAGGCTTGTAAGTAGGGCGGTGGCCTCTAGGTCAGATCCACCTCCGAGGGTACATAGGGATCAGCGAGACAGGGAGAGGGTAGATCATGAGAGTGAAACTAGGCTAAGCCAGACACAGGGTTGACACTATGTGGCACACGGACACACCTGTGTTGAGGGCGGAGAACGAATGTAAAACAGCACATGATTTATTGTTAATGATATCGCGACGCTCACCAAACAACGAGAGACGTGGAGAACACACATGGGCGCGTACGACCCGGGGTTCGTGCCTTCAGAGAGTAACGAGAGGTGAAGAATGTCTCGTCGTCATGTTGCAACGAGATCCAACAGACCATAAGTTGCATAGTGCGCACCATTACCCCCAAAAGGATGAGATGGATATCGCGAGAGGCATCAGGAATCTTCGTCAAACCATGGTTCGCTGTCTTCTTTTGGACCGCGGTACCAACACGAGAGAAGGTCAGACATAGTGGGAGCCTGAGATATGAGAAGAGAGCTAGTCGAGAGGATACACTGGTGCATTTCATACCCCATCTTTGTCAGTAGAGCAGCGTAATTGACAAGAACATTAGTGATAAACTTTATAGCGTAAATGAGGAGTAGCGGAACTTTTACATCCATGGGGTGTTATTCAACCATCAAGGGCAGCATGCCACAGTCCTTCGGCCCCTGCGCCTTCATCCGGGCCAGAAGCGCGAACACGATGAGTAGACAACCTCTCGACGAAGGCCCTGTCCCTCGAATCTTCGGCAATTTCTGCCTGAAGTTTTCAGCATGCTTGTACTAGGGCCGTCATCTATGCCAACTGAGGATAAAGACGCAGTTCTGCATGGATAACGGTCCTGAATACAGCAACCTGCGTGGCTTTTGCAAAGATCTTGACCTGTGCTTTGAAAGCTTGAAACTCAGAGATGTGTGCGACCACTATCTATTCCATCCGTGCCCAGATAGATCTGAATCTGCGCAGTTGTTTGAAATTAATTTTGTAAGCAGATCACTAAGGCAGGTTGCACCAGAGCATGCGCTGTGAATACTCATCCGCCCACCATCATCAATGTGACTCCACAATCTTCTGCATTGGGGTCGGACTAGGACTGCGAGAGATTGCCGAGCTGAAGACATTGTATTCAGTGTGAAGTCCAGAATCAAGGCGAAGAGACGGGGTGGTTGGCTTGATAGAGTGAGGAAGAGAGATTAAATGAGCGCCTTTGCCAATAGATTCCCCTCAGCGCTTAGCATCGGCCATCCCTTCAGTCTTGACGTCCTTGACCCGACTTCATAGCCTCAAAATCCCTCCTATTCAAGTGTGTTGCGGTGCGTAACTTCAAGTCGCTGTCTAAGCGCATCAATCATACCCATGACAGTTCGACTGATGAGGTTTTTTCCTGCATATATGTATCTCCTTGATTTAGCATGATCTATCTGTTCTAGCAGCAGCTTTCATTGCATTGAAATGTGAAAGCTGATCATAGACTCTGGCCAGACGTCTGGACGCGTGAGGAGGGAAGACAGGGAAGGGCACTAGTAGGTCTGATGTCAGTATGGTTGTTAGTGACGGGTTCATATTAGCTGCCATCCCCGAAGTAAGTTCTCCATGCATCGCTATTCGCGTGTGTAGTCCTTCGCTACTCTTAGGGAAACCTCCCAGTGTACGCATTGATTCGATATTTGCGAAGAAGCAATTGTCCCGGCAGTCACCACCACGTCCTGTAACAGGGATGGATCTTAGGCAGGACCTGGGGACTCCGAGTTGCAGACTCACTCCTACCTTGGGTTCGAGAACAATTTAACTCCGTTTTTGTCCCACTCAGTGGATCCTCATCTGAGCTGCAGATATCGGATCATTCGTCTTAAGCAGATGGTTGATACCAAATCACTCTCCCCTGCGGTATCCTAGAAATCCGTGGGTTTACCATCCTATTTGGGGTATCTCACTTTCTGCTTGCTAGCTCTGATAGCCCTGCGACCGAGTAGACGGAGTTGACGTTCAGCATATAAGACAAAGTATTCCCACTCTCATTGGTAGTAATTTCGGACACTTGCCCATGTGCTCCCAATTTGCGGGCGTCCGTTGGCTTGTTCTTTGCTTGCTCATACAATAGCTGGTGGTACCTGAACCTGACGTTCCTGAGAATATGGACTATCAATATCTGTATGTGAATCCTTGCTGAGTTGTCCAGTGACAAGTGTCAGTAATATGCAAACTCTTTCAGTGTGAACATGGAGGCTTTTCTGAGATCAAAGATGTCGGAAAATTCATGAGTTTCTGGGTTTGATTGGGTGCTAAAATTACTGTTCTTGATATCATGGTGCCTTGGAAAACTGACACAGACATGGTTCATGCATGCCTTCTTAACACCCACATGTTCTGTTCACCTGATGGATTTCCCACTGAATTGCCTTCATGGTACCCTCACATCAACAGAGATAAGTATGTAGATGAAGGGTATGTGTTAAAACTTGATGATGAATGAAGGGATGCAAGATTCAGTCCATGGCAACTATGAGGACTATCATGGTGACATATCCCTTTATGTACCCTATACAGACTGATATAACTATTCTTCCCTTCCTGACAGTGCATGCTTGCACTGCCTGCCACATTGGCCACGCCATTGCATTGATGTTGACAGATCTTCCCATGTGCAGCCTTCAAGCATCAGAGCCAATCAATTCACATCAGTAGTGTATATGCCATCCATGGGAGGTGATCCAATTCTGTGCTTTGACAAGTGTTCAGTTGATGAATAATAGGTGTTGGTATGTATGCAGCAAACACTGTTCTACTCACGAAGAGAAGCAGATGGTTGTACTGATGACAAGACTGAGATGCTAGGCATGATTTGAACCTTCTATGAGTCCATGCAGACATACAGTCAGGTCATGCCACTGCCATGAACCTTGTTGCACACCGTGGCTGGTGTCAATGGCACCCCCCTCTGTGAACTTCATACAAACAACTTGACCTTGTGCTGGCAGGGTTGGGTATTTCTGGATGATATCGCACATTCTTCACATCTTCCCATGTTGGCTTGACTGCACCCTTCCTTAGCTTACCAGAAGTGATACAATATGTCAAATACATCTAGACTCATGGAGCCAACACAGTAATCTGTTTCACAGAGTATATCAGAGAAGGACACAGGTGCTTTGTGAACACTTGACAGTGACGGCCAACTCGTTGGAGGTGATGTTATAACATTTGAGAGACCTATATTGATCATAGAATGCACAGCCATGAGCGAGGCCAGTCTTTGCTTCCACTGATCAATGTTCCTCTTGTCAAGTCTGTGCATCTATCATGGTATTGGTGTTGCTAATTTTTGACGTCGTACTGGGAGTTCTGTGGGAATTCCATTTACTCTCTGTAGTCATATACCATTTTGTGTGTTTCCAAATTGGCCATCAGTATCATGTCGGTGTTCACTGTTCTGTGTGTTTGCATAGACTCTGCCTGTGATATGCTTGAGTCGATTACCTATGTGGATCGTCATGTGCTGAAGACAGGTCTATTTTCACAAAGTGCAAATTAAAATATCAACCATCCCCCAAGCGAGACAGATTCCAAGCATATCACATTTGACGCAGGTTAAAATTACAGACTACAATAGTGGTATCCAGTCTATCAAACTAATCCTTTCCAGTGGTGCTATGCTTGCTTAAGCTATGATCAGTAACCTCTGTTGTATCACGGAATATCTCGATGTTTCGCTGGTCCGAGATTGTCAACATCAGAGTATCTATTAGGAACTGGCTAGAAAGATTGTGCGTACCGGTCTGGCCGATTCGCGGCTCACATTATGTAACTCAATCTCAACAAGGTTAGAAGAATGCTGTCGTTCAGCTTTGAAGTGTTGTCGTGCGTTCAGCCTAGAAATGAATTAAGCATAAGTAATCTAGGCAAAACAAATGGAAAGACCCCGCACATAGCAATCAGTGAGTTTGCATAAACTTTTGCAGTGTATTAGTCAATGAAATTACTAGATCTGAAGGATGCGTACGTTTGCTTTGAATCTCAACCAATCCACCAAAGAGTAGACTGTTTTTCAAAGCTGGCGCCCAAAACTAAGAACAGTACACGTGAGCAAGGGGGACACACATGATTAATGAACACTTATACCGTTGCAATGAGACTTATAGAAATGCACCTTCAGGGGTGTGAGTCTATGTATTGTAAACAAGCAGAATTGGCTTACATTGTCAGAGCACCAGTGTTGATAATGTAGGCCATCAGCGTCCGCACCAAGTTATCAGTCCTATTGTAATGAAGAGACGGTTCAGATACCAACCTAAAAGAATGCACTTACTGCTCACACTGTGTGGCCTGTTCGGCTAGTCCAGAGATAATAAATTTGGCTAAGAGCAATAAGTACATCCAGGATTCCTGAAAGACTAATGCCACATGTAAATGTGACCTGTTGCAAGTATGAGACAGTTGTGAATATTCTGTATGATACCACGATTCAACTAGATGGCACACCAGAAGTCCATGAAATGTTCTGAACTCAACCCAAGTATTGAATTTCCATCTAATATGTATAAGTCAAGGAAATTTAGACAGATGAATGAATAGATGACGTACAATAAGCTTGCTGTTGCTATAGTGAAATTTGTAATTAGTATTAGGAGATGGCACAGCAAATATACTCATACCAAGCCCAAAAACTGGTACAAGATTGATCAGACTCATGGTCAAGATAGCAATGATCATTACCCACCGATACGCATGAAGAGCAAGATTGCCTTTGTGGTATTCAGACCCAAATACTCAAGAATTTGAGGAAACAATGGCTCACTAGTGTGGAGACTAGGGAAGCTGATCCTCTGCTCACTGTGCGCCAAATGGAGGCAATCAGTATACATGAATGAGAGTACGAGATGACATACATATCCAGGTTCGCCAAATAAAAAAGCTGGGGAGACAAAACATGAGATACTGCCAGGAAACACACAGAAGTCCCACCTCTGAACCAAGCCTGCAATAAAGACCTGCGCTCCAAGTCAATCTTTGAGTATGCAACAGAGCCAGTCTGATGATGGTTAAGTTACCTCTACGAACACTGTAGCCTGCATGCAGGATGTAAATTACTATTTTGAAATAATGGAAGGTTGTATATTGTATAGACGTACACCAGCACTCCTGGGGTTAACATTGAGCACAAATGCAGGGAATCAGAAAACAAAGTTAGTGCTTACCAAGTGATCTGGAGGATGCCTTCGAGGTCCCCAAAGTCAATGATTGTGTAATGGTAACTCATATACAAGCAAAAGACTGTGTGTATGGTCTCCAAAACCCTTCAGACAAACAGAGCAGCTTAGTGAGAAAGTATATTTTGTGGCTGAAGTCAGGAGTCTTACCATACAGATGCAACTAATGAGCGAACTAAGCTCGAGTCATCCTGCGATGTCCACCAATAAAAGTATGCCTGTGCAGTAACAATCCCATACAGACTTGAGGTAAAGGTATGTCATGAGTACCCCAGGATAAGTAGGAGGGATACAGTAGAAACGCACATGATTGCAATATCTATGCCAAGTGTAAATCCTCCTATGATCTCTTCGATGGATGGCGAGGCAGCAGCAGACATCTTGAATCAATACTGACTTTGTGATGATAAGATGTGCTTTTTGGGAGATTATGACTTGAAAAGCTCCGGTAGTGCAGGTTGTAATCTTTAATAGATGTTTTATATGGGGCCACCTGAAATTATGAGCGTTAAGCTCAGACGCCACACAGCAGCCTTCAAAGCTTCATGCATCAAGGGCATCAAGGTTCATGTGATGACAGCATGATCCTGACTTGAACATGCTGAGGATGTGGTGATTATTCGGTATATAGATATCTTCAGGGAAATTCAACATCTGCAAATCAGATGAAAAGATTTAGCAGTGACCCTGAGGCTGGAATGGTAAGTCCAGGTACTTGTACTTAGTTGTTAAGTCCGCCTTGACATATATGCTCAAGCATCAGCACAACGGAAGCCAGGTGATCCAATTAGAGTGATTCTCAGGCAGTTAGTTCACTTGCTGTTCCGATACCTCCTTCTAGTCCTTTCTCTGGTCCCACTCCCACCCAGTCACCAGTATGCATATGCTAACTCAGCAACTATTGCCGTTCAATTCAGCTTTTTCATATGACAGAAATTAGATATGAGCTCCATTTACCACAGCCACAGAGTAGAAGTCTGCCGTAGTCTGGAATCCACACTCGGTAGACAGCTGACCTGAGAATTACTAGTAGAGCATATGGCAAGCACGCCATTGGTGCTAATACCTAGTTGACACTGTTATGGTACATATTAACCAATTCAAGATTTGGGCTTTTCAACGCCACTTCTTCCATTTGATGCTGTCTGTAGCCCAAGAGCCTCCATAATTCCAGTATCACAGCAATGTGTGGAAAGATGTGAAGTTCGTGTTTCTCAAATTTCTGCGCTCCATGCCAGGACCTCAGGGCTGCTTTTCTTTCTAGGATGTGTTAGATAAGGGATGTTTATGCACCTACATTTGTGCGCCACAGTGCTCTCATGTAGTACAGAAATTTGAAAAATATGACTGCAATTCCACATCTTTCTGTGCATTCCTGTAGAGCTTCTTTGGTACAGCACTTCGGATAATATCTTATTTTGCTGATGGGCCAGAACCTGTCACCTATTGTTCTATCATACACCGAACTAAGTACTATCAGCTGATTGATCTAGAGCTAGTGCTTCCTTCCATATATGATATGATCAATTGGTACTGCAGTTGCAGTTGCGGACAACCACAGATATGATGACTACTGGCGCACACTTGGCTGTTTGAGTAGCCTGGGATTGGTTTGTAGAGAGTTACAATAGTATGTAAGGTGCAACTTGGTTGGTGAGTGACATTGACAAGCTGAAGTCCTGAGTTTTCAGCATGGCAACAAGACAAGTGACTAGTGTTGACAGGTCGGAGTCACACTGTTTTCATTATTGTCATGCTTGAGGCATGTTTTCCACAGTCTCAAGGAGGAAAAGAAGGAGCAAGGACCGGTTTGTGCCGACAGTTTTTCTACCATACCCTGAGTCATGATGCATGATGACTTAGGCTCCACAACACGGATCTATCAGTCTTGTTACTCCCTGCATCTCCGCCTGTACTAGTATCTCCCTGTCTCAGGTCCAAGAATGTACATCTGCTGATTAGATGGAGATATTTGTGGCATGCAGCACGAGTGCAGCTCATAAGCATCTTTGAGATAAGAACTGACTGTCAAGAGTGGACAAAGAAGCTCATTGCGCATCACTTTTGGTAGCTTCGGGCTCTCCTTATAAAAGACTGCCATCCATTTACCAAGTTTGGTTTGTTCAAGACACTATGGCCTCTCTTGATATTCCAACTTGTCCTCCTTTAGACGGTACAGTTGATGTCTTACCTGGATTCCTTGACTTTCATGCTAGACATAATCCTTCAAAGCCCATGTGGCGCTTTCCTCCATTGGAACCTCAACCAGATGTTGTAACATATAGCCAGTTTGCTGATGCCACCCATCGTATCGCCCATGCTGTTCGTCCAGGACGTACTGGAACTGAGCGTGTTGTTGTTGCCATCTTTGTGCATTGTGACACACTCTTCTACTATGCACTAATGATTGGAATTATTCGCTCAGGTTTCATCCCATTTCCAATGTCACCGCGCAATTCAGCACCTGCAGTTGTCAACATGCTTCAGCGCACGCAGTGCCATAGAATCATCTCCCAGCCATCATTTACTCCAGTCATGGATTCCATTCGCTCCGCTCTGCCATCTGACTATACTCTCCAAGTGGATGATCTTCCTGCATTTGCTGATGTATTCCCCATGTTTTCCTCTTCCTCTGTGTTGATCTCGTCAGAAAGTGATATAGTTCTTGCGCCATACCCTTCACCAGTACAATCTCTTGCACCCTCTGAAGTTGTACTCATCCTGCACTCATCTGGCTCCACCGGGTTTCCGAAGCCAATCATGCAAACAGGAATCACAATTCTCCATTGGTGTAGCACTCCCGTCATGGTGGAGAGTCGCAACCGAGCTCTTCGTTGGGCTTCGCCTTCCCTGCCACCCTTTCATACTATGGGTATCATCATTCAGCTATATGTTGGCCTGGTGTCTGGTCAGCCGGTCTCGCTCTATACTCCCAGGGCCCACCTGGGTTCACCACCTGTTGTACCTACCCCGGATAACGCGCTAGATGCAGTTAAGCAAACAAATGCAAATGCAGTTCCTGCTGTTCCCATATTTCTTGAGGTAAAGTATGTTCTCCTCCTATTGAGCATGGCTCACATCTTGTTCAGGCATGGGCACACAACGATGAACACATCAAATACCTAGCTTCATTGGAGATTGTGGTCTGTGCAAATATTCACATTGTTCTTATACCAAAGGAGATTAATTTGTGCTTCTGAGTCAGGCATATGCAGGTGGCTCACCATCTGAGAAGAATGGAAACAAGCTGTCAAAAGCTGGTGTTTTCCTTGCTTCAGTGTATGGTGGTACAGAGTTTGGGCCACCTTCGGCTCTTTTTGATGTTGGGCCAGCAGCAACGTATAATCCTGCCGGAAAATCTTGGGAGGACTGGCAGTGGATGCAGTTTGATGATAGGTGCAAAATTAGGTGGCTTCCTCAAGGTGATGGCTCTTATGAACTTGTTTTCATGGTATGAGTTTTAGTTGTTAACTAGCATACACTAACCTTTTTTGCAACTTGAATTAGTCATGTGCTACCCACCAGCCTAGTGTTGAAAATCTGCCAAATGGCGAGAAGGGCTATGCATCGTCCGATCTTTGGGAGCCCCACCCGACAAAATCAGGCCTCTGGCGGATGTGTGTACTCTTGTTCATGCTTTGACTACTAAGACCTGACAGTGCAACCCTGAATCAGTGTTGGCCGAACTGATGATGTTATTGTGTTGAGCAATGGTGTGGTTATATTTCTGGTCTTTTTAGTCTCTTTGCTCATATAGCATATCGGCTTGGAAATTAGGTGAGAAGATCGTTCCAATACAACAAGAAGGGCATATTGGGGCACATCCATGGATTGCTGGTGCTGTCATGTTTGGATTTGGGCATGAGCAGCCTGGTGTGCTCATTGAGCCTCGCCCTGGTCATGAAATAAAAATGGGAGACCAGGATGCTCTCGTTGAATTCAGAGGCCTTATATGGTAAGTAGCTGCACTATATTTTTATTATTGCATTACTCATCTCACCATCAAGGCCGCAAGTTGAGGAGGCAAACAAGCCAGCCCCAGGATTTGCTCAACTATTCAAAGAAATGATTATTGTAACAGATTCAGCACGTCCTCTTCCTCGTGCTGCAAAGGGAACTGTGATGCGCAAAATGGCCCTTGCACTCTACGAGTCAGACATCAATTCACTGTAGGTGGATGTGCACTTATATATACCATTCCTCAAGCTAATACTTTTATTGCTACATACTGACAGGTATCAAGCTGTTTCTGAAAGCACCGGATTGCATAACATTGTACCTCCTCAATCTTGGACCACCTTGCATATTGAGGCATGGCTTGTAAAACATGCTACTGATATCCATGGCGGGAAAGTTGTTTCGGTCGACAAAGATCTCTTCGAGCAGGGATTTGATAGGTTAGTATCCTTTTGTTACCTGATAGAGTTCTGATACTGATCTGTGCCAACCCCAACTTCCAGTTTGAGTGCAACAATCCTTAGAAATCGCCTAATAGGAGGCCTTCGTTCATCTACGGATCCGAGATCGGCCACCGCTGCAAAGAAATTACGAGCAAATATTGTTTTTGAACATCCGTCCATCTCTGCGCTCACTCAGTTTCTCTTCGGCCTTATTAATCAAGCCAACTTCGAGTTACAGAAGCAATCTCCTACTGCAGATATTGATCAGCTGATTCACCAGTACTCCATTCAACCTGGAATGAGTGCGATATCAGCCACGGCAAAGGCGGTCAGCAAGAATGGAGCTGTGATTCTTGTTACCGGGACCACGGGAAGATTGGGAACACACCTACTTGCTTCACTTCTTGAAGATACACGCATAGCTCATGTGTATGCACTTAATCGTGGCAGCTCTTTGCTCGAGCGGCAGCAAGCATCATTTGACTCTGCTCATCTGCCTTCTGCTGCTCTCAGTGGCCCCAAGCTCACCCTGATCTCCGGTGACCTTGGACAAGACAACTTTGGCCTAACGTCTGCGAGGTGTGAGGAGGTAAGATGATCCTCTGTCAAACGATCTTGGCACTAACAACGTGGTTTAGATAAAGAAATCTGTAACCCACGTGGTGCATAATGCATGGAGAGTCGACTTCAATCTCTCGCTGGCCTCATTTGAGTCAAGCATCAGTGCGGCCACCCGGTTGGCACAGCTTGTTCCAGGTGCAAGATTTTGCTTTACCTCATCTGTTTCTGCAGCACAGGGTTGGCCTACAGCAAAAGGTCCTGTACCTGAAGAAGCTCTTCACAACGCAATGGTCGCTGTTGGATCTGGATATGGCATGGGAAAATATGTAGTAGAAGAGGTAGATTTTATTATTACTATCCTGTGGAGTAGTGATCAAGCTGATTGAGTTGTGCGTAGGTCTTGGACAAAGCACGAGGATTAGGCCTTAACGTGACGATTCTACGAATAGGCCAGTTGTGCGGCTCATCCAGGTCCGGAATGTGGAACACCACAGAGTGGGTCCCTGTCCTCGTGAAGTCAAGCATCACTCTAGGATGTCTTCCCCAACTGGATGGTGTAGGTCCTGATTTCATTGAACTAATAACTTTACTCAAATCCGTATTTTGACATCCAGGCCGTATCATGGTTGCCCATTGATAAGGCAGCACTTGCGGCAATAGAAATTGTATTGCAAGAGCACAAAGAACACAATATTCCCGTCCTCAACTTGGTTCACCCTCATCCGACAACTGCCAGAGCAGTGTTCTCTGCAATCACCAGCGCACTCAAGCTAGACTTGCCCATTGTATCTTTCCCAAAATGGCTTGAGAAAATAGAAGAGCATGCAAAGAATCCCACACCGCAGCTGTTGCAAGAAATTGTGCGTGCCAGTATTCTTTGTGGACAGCATGAATGCTAACCATGTATAATTAATGGTACAGCCTGCAATAAAGCTGCTTGAGTTCTTTCGCAGCATTGTGGTGCATGGAAGTGACACATCAGAAAACATCAATACAGAGATAGGCGGTATGGCACTTTTTGATTCTGCCAAAGCGATGGCTGTAAGCACCACACTGCGTGAGCTGCCTGTTATTAGGAACACTGACTGTGAGGCATGGGTCCGATGCTGGCAAGACCAGCACTTCATCGTCTCCGGGTAAGGTGCTGATGATGGTCATTTAGAGCCCATGTCTCCCTGTCTGAATTGTATAATAATGTATCATGTATGAACAGAGTACATGCTACTGTTGTCCTCTTTGAGCTATTAGCAGATGAATTCATGCTTGGGCTTTCTCTATGTTCTTGAACAAGCTGTCTTCTGACTTAATATATACCTCAGTAACGTATAATCACCGGCAAAACTTACAAGTTACTATCAGTGACCATGTGTCCCTTAGTGACTTGACATCACTGTCACTAAGAGTAAGCCTGAGGTTCTTGGTGTCTAGCATCTTCTTTCCTTTTTAG